GGATAAAACAGCTCATGCATCTGGCAATACTCCACATATTTTGAACATAAGAGAGCACCTCAAAAATCATTACAGCATTTCTTCACAGACTAAAACACCATATAGGGGTCTCGGGTGACAGGGTGTTCAGCTTATAAAATATTTATTAAATAGCTCTTTTAAATGGCTGTAATTTGTTATGATAACCAGTAAAAACAAATCCTCTCTGTGGACAGTGGTGGTTCAGTTTAGCTGATTTAGACTTTTTGTATATCCTTCCCTGGCCTTTCCTGAGCAGTTGAAATGTGTTGTGGGAGGTGAGAAGCTCCTTTAACTACTTTACAGGAGTTTGAATATTAACAATGGTAACAAGCAATTTCCCTTACTTAAAAAAAAAAATAATCGTTAAAATATATAGTTCACTGCAGAAATGCTAGTAAGCTGGAGTAGAGAAACTTAACAAGGAAAGTCAGTACTTACTATATAGGTATTTTACTGCTTTGAGTTTTCACCTAGAGAGTAAATCTAGAAGGGACTTGGTAAGTCAAATATCTGTTGGGATTTGTTTTAAACTTGCATTCATCTGCACTTGAAGTCTAGTTTAAGATGTTGAATCATATAAATTAATACTAAATTTGAAATACAAATCTAATTCTTAGAATTGAGTGAATTAGAATAGATTTTTGTTTTCTTTCCGTTCTTGTCCAAGTGCATGCCAGCAGGCTTTATGGGCTTGTTGTTTAACTGGGTTTTATGCCAAAACATTTTACAACCCATGTCTTTAAACAAATTGTGCTGTTTTGCTAAAGACCACCGAGTTTTCACTCACAAAATGCTGTAGTTGTGGAATCTGTGAACGATTAGTTTTTTTATCATCTTTGAGCAGACTTCTAATACTCGGAAGCAGCAAATTGGCTGTTTAAACTATGTAACTAAAGTTATCTGTCCTCTTCTAGAAAATTGTTGGGTTGGGATGGTATCCATTTTGCTTGTTGCACCTGCTTTAAAATTAAGCTGCAAGTCCCATGGATGGGTCAGAATTGTAACTTTTAAAATGTTTCTGTTAAAAAAAACCCCAACCAAACAAACAAAAAAAACAACCACAAAACTGCCTAAAGCTGAATTCTTCTGTGTTCTGTCCTTTCCTCCAGGTTTTCTGTGACTTTTCATTGACAATAAGGTGTGATTGATTATTTAACTGCAGCACCGAGTAGAGTAACTACAAAGGTGTATCTGTGGGCGTAGTTTCAAAGAGCATTTCTCTTTGTGGTGCTGTTGGTATAAAGAGTCCCACCCTCTTACTTGTGATGGGGTGAACCTGATCAGGAAGCTGGTCCAGATTAAAAATTAGCTAGGTAAGGAAAATAATGATTATTTTTAACCCAGATATTTTTAGCCCCAGTTATGAGCGACATACTGACGTTTGGAAGTGATGGGTAACTGAAGAAACATTTCAAGAAAATAAAACCTGAGGTAGCTGAAATTCAGGTGGGTATGGGGTTTTCTTATTAGTTTTTTGTTTGTGTTTTATTTCTCAGTAGCAATAAATGATATTTTGCATACATTTAGGCGGAGATGTACATATTAGCTGGAGGGAGGAACGTAAGTGAATTTATCTGTGGTCAAGTTGTGCTAACGAAGCTGTGATCTGGGTATGGCTTGGAGTCCCAGGTGAGCCAAGCACACAGCTAGCTGTGGTCCTGCTCCCCTGCACATTCCTGCCTTCTCTCAGTTGTGCCAGCTCTGTCACCAGGCCAGCAGGGAGGCAGCTCAGGAAGCTAAACTGGCTGAAACGTAACCTTCCACAAATACATTTTCTGCTGGCCTTGCTCCATGAAGCAGCTCACCATGGAGACCGATGAGAGCCAGAGCTCACCTGTGGTCAGGAGCAGCAGGAGAGCCCGTGGCTGTACCTCCAACCTGTGTTATTGTGTAGCCTCCGGACAGCAGGAGTGCGACCTCCTGAAAGGTGGCTGCGTGTATTTCTAAGCAGCCTTGCCATCCTGCTCTCTGCACTGCCTGCTTGTCCCTCCACACTACGTTACCCCTGCCTGGTTTCGGCAATCCCTTCCTCCCCTCTGCTCCCCTGGCACCCTTGCAATTCCCCATCGCCTCCTGCAAAATGCTGCTCGAACTGGGGGGCAGAGTAGGAGGGATGGGAAGGTGAAATGAGCCTTGAGCTTGTGGACTTCAGTTTGAGGAATGCTGGTTTAGGAGATGCGGTGGCTGGTATATGAATAGGGACTCTTCATAAAGGAGACAACTTGTCTGCGTTAGCCAGTAAACCAGTTAACGTCAAGAGTACTTCAGAATTGGCAACTCCTGTGGAGGTCTGCAGGGCTTTCAGAGCATCAGTAGTACGTTTATTTCGGTTTCTTGTTTGCAAGGCCTTTTTGAAGTTTAATAATAAAAAATGTAACAGAAAAGCTACTGTTTGTACCTAGTGAGCTAACGTACTCTACCAAGTGGTGGTACTTAAATATCCATTAAAAAGCACAGCTGGCACAGCATAATGAGAGTGTGATCTGTTTGAGTAGTGTTACTGATGAAAGAGAGTATAATATAATTATGAAGAATTAATGTAATGTACCCTAGGAGCACACATGTTGGTTAGTGTCCCCCTCACACCTTCAATGTATGTTTTCCACTGTGGAATTCATCAGAAAAAAATAAATTGTGTGGCTGTGGAGGGTAAATTTTGGAGGCTTTCATCCCAAGTAAAAATGAGACCCTGTTGTGGAATTGATATAATTTCCAAAGGGTGCTGTGGGTGCTGCTTTGACGTAGTCATGGCTAGTAATGGTAATAAAGTCTTGGCATCTTCAGCAGTCTCTAGAATTAATCCTTTATGAGAGAAAATAGGCATTCAATATAGCCATCAGATGCTAGCAGAATGGATGGGCAAGGACAAGCTTGTCCATGCTAGCTATAAACCAAATCAGCTTGTTTTCCATATGCAAGAGTGTTTGAAGTTTTAGTGTGGTATTTTAAACTACATCAACCTCATTCTTAATATCTAGAAGTTGCAGAAGTTTGCAGCACAAAAGATTCACTCACAAAATACAGAAACATAAAGCCAGTGTGCACTCGTCTATAGAGACTACTACTGAATGCAGCTGGTAGAGAAACAAAAAATCTATGGGAAGGCTTTGAGGGCTACAGTATTTCAGGAAATATTTGACACTGTACAGCACTCAGAATTCCCCGTAGCCATGGTGGGGTGAAGGTGTGTGAGGTTTGTCTGAGGCTGAAACTTAAGGCTACTGTCCCAGTACCAGGAAAGTTCAATGCACTTCTTAAGCTTTTAATTTTTTGTTTTTTAAACTGAGTTGTGTCACACTTATGCTTGTTCAGAGGGGATTATAGCTGAGTTTTCATATGTACTTAGGAGTCCCAATCTTGGATATGACTGCTGTGTGAGAGCATGTCCTGCACATGTTCAGGCATCATAGTTGTTGATTAGAAAACATGCATCTGTTATCAAGACGAGAATCCAGAAAGATTATTTCTGTATCCTTAAAGATTATCTACCGCTTATGATTAACAGGTGATAATTTCAGTACAATAAGGTGAACGTGACTTTTCTGTGTAGTTGAAGGTACCCATGCTTATGTCATGTGACACGCAGTCAACAGTTTAATCCTAAAAACCTTCCACAGAAATTATTTTCTAAATGACACCTAGTCAAACTTGTTAATGGAAGGAATCTTTTGGAAGGACTTGTTTAAATAAAAGTATATGTGACTTTTTTGGTGAGGGAAGCTTCATTTTATTGTAGACTTCTGTTCTTCAAAATGGGCACTGTCACTGTACAAACAGTCTTTCAAACTACAAATTTGGGACAATAAAATGCCTGAAGAGGTTTCAGTAATGTCTTGGGAAGAGGTGAGTCTTACAAAAAGAAGAATCAAGTGGGATTTTTTTCATTTCCCACCATCTCGAATCATCTCACCCCAGGCCATACTCTTCCAGGTAATGAAGATATAGTTGGTAACAGAGATTTAGAAAGGTGTCCCAGGGGCGTGAGGGGGAATACATAAATAATAGCAAACATGAGGTCCACAACTGTTGGTATTGAGGAATTTGAAAATGTGGCTGGGTTTGCAAGCCATGTGTGTATTCTTAGGTACAATCCATTATTTTGAAAAGTGAAAGAGAGCAAATGGTTACTCAAGCTAACTTTGTAATGAAACCAGTGGTTCTATGACAATTATTTTACAGTACTAATAAAAAGTAAAATTAGTTGCTCTCTATAGGTAGAATGGTATAACAAAACTCAGCACAAGATGCTACCGTGGGGCAAGGTGGTATTTGTTTCTCTGAGCTCTCAGTTACTTGACACTCATTCTCTGACAGATTTCATTTGCTTGCACTCTTGTGTCCACTTGCTCAACAAGCAGCAAGACTTGTGCCCAAGTGGTTTAGCCAGGATCCCTTGTGAGTGACACAGGACAAGAAAAAAAATATGTCAAATCCTCATGACATCTTGGGCCCTTATTGACTGGTGATGCCAACCTGATTTTTGGATGATCTTTTAACCATCTTCAGGTGGCGTGGTGTGGTTTTTCTCAATCTTCAGCTCCCATAAATCTTAGGAGAGGCAGCTGATTATTGTCCGATTTTTCCTTTTTTTTTTTTTTTTTTAAAATACATGTTTTAAATACGTGTCAATAGTCTGTTTTGAGAATGCGCTAACAGGAAAAGGAACAATATATGCAGTGTGATGCAACCTCAGTATCCTTCTGGTGTTAGGCTGCAGGGTCTTCTGCTGGCAAGTGGGCTGTGCTGTGGTCTGGTCGGAGAACCGGCCTTACTGCTGGGAGCACTGTTGTGGGAATGGTGCCCTTCCTTATCAGGACAAACTAAGCTTTCATCTTCGTTCTGCTGCTTGTTCTGGTGTGTAGACACTGACACACACATGCACACACAAAAACCCGCCTTTCCATTCATGTTGAATATCCTTCTAATATTACTTTTACAGATCTTTACAATATTAGGAAGAGATTTATATAAAGCATACCATTCACTACGGATTCTGTAGAAAGGTATGTTCAGTCGTTCCTAAAAGAAAATGCTGCGTGTTGTTAACATTGGACAGCAGTTGTCTAATGTGGTATAATAGTTATCCAACAGAATAAAGCTTTGTAGGGCTCTATATTGAGAGTTCTAGGCCATTACAGAAATTTCTGTAGTGTTTCAGCAATGTTCAAGAAGGAAACAGTTTATAAGACCCAAAAAGGAGCTTTTTTAAAAAAATGAAAATATAATACAAGGAAATAGACCTTTTAGCTGTGTTAGGTGTAAAGTACTAAGAAGAAAGATTTTTAATTTAATGGAACTTTGCTCTCCAATGTACAGGTAGCTCAAACTACAGTTTTTGGTAACTTCCATCTCAAACAGGAAAATAATTTTTAGGGATCAGCTAGACTAATAAGGAGTGTGTTAAGTCACTAACGAAGGAGTACTCAAAACTATAGAAGATGTTGTAGTTACTTAGTTGCATAGAAGTTGACTTAAGAGATTCAGCAGTGGAAAGTGCTAAGAACTTGCTGATATCAAAAGAGGAACCGATGGATGGATGATGAAAGGCACATCTTGAGAATACATACTGACACTCTATTTATCTATTTATTTTTATAAAACACAGTGGCATGGTCTTAGTTTTGATAACATTTTACTGAATTTGCTTAAACATTTCTGTAAGAAAGACCTTGCAGGCTTTTCATTGTTGTTTCTATTAATATATTAGAAGACTATGTAAAACACGTCAAAAAACATAAAAGCAAAACTTAACCTTTCCTGAAATGTTTGAATGAATGATGTTTCAGAGATTAAAATATTACAAAATATAAACTCAATGCCATTTAGTTAATTACAAAATTTGGCACTTTGCTGGCTTTGAAGACTTGGCAAGAGCTGTGGGCCTCAAGTTTTAGGAGGCATTTGTGGTTAAATATTGGAGAGCTGACTCACTATTTAAACAGTTTCAAGCCAGGCATCCTTTTCAAGAATCAAGCTAGATTCTCTCTTCCTCTTAGGCCCCATTACTCAACTTAATTGTTGTAGCCTTCTACTTTATTTTCCCATCTCCTTGCCTTTCGCCTTGATCCTATATCCAAAAAGCTTTTCCATAGCACTGATGCTTAAAACTTCTGTCCCATTTCTGCTGTTTTATTGTTGTATAAAAACGATGCTTTTTGTATATGCTGTTCCTCAGAGGACATTTTTAGGAGATTCAGAATTTCCAAGAATAAAAGAATGTAGTAGTGCTTGCTTGTTTAACCTAATGTCGCGGTTTGGAGTTTGATGTTCTGGCTGTTTCTTTTACAAGGATGTAGTTAATCTGGCAGACATTCACAGAAAACAATATGGTGGTGTGGATCTGGAGAAATTGTTTTAGTAAGAAAATGAAAAATATTTGCATGTGTGTAAGTTGTTTTAAAAATGATACCAAGTAAAATACAAGTCTTGTTTCTCTGGAAGTTTAGAGTAAGAGGATCGCTTTTTGGAGAGCGATTAAAGAATAGAGCAAGGAACGTTGTCGCACATCCTCAGAAGGATTAATGGGGATGGTGGAGCAAACAGCTTGTATGCTCCAGTTCAAGATACATGTTCATTAAAGACCTAGAGTTTTCAAAATGTGCTGAAGTGAAGATTTGAAACTCCATTTAATGCTGCGTGTATATATCCATATGCACCTATTGACTAGAACAGCTGTGTCAACCTAGTACCTGGATGAAATGTGTGACCGCCTTTTATGTCGCGTTAGGATAGGCCAAAATACGGGGTGCCGCACCTCAGGGTAAGGGAATGTGGGTCTTAAAATGTCATGCTGGAGCGAAGTGGAGAGGCATAGAATCGGTGTCACATGAATCAGTCTTAAATGTCATGAAGTATTTAAGTGTTGGCACAGCATTGCTGCCTGCTGCAGTTCTCTCTGCTCGTCTAACTCAGCTGTTAGAGTTGGTCTTTAATCTTCGGTTCTACTGTAATTGTAGTGAATATAAGAGCTTTTCTGTCAGAACGAGCATGGTTTTTTAAGGAATTACCGATGAACAGTGTTCCAACAAATATTTAACTAACTAACCTAAATATGAGCATTTTGATAAAATGATCACTTTTAAGGAGAACTGTAGAGAATTAATTTAATACTAACATGCCATTTCAAAGTTTTACATAATGACTCTTCAAGATCAGTTGGCAGTCCTGAATTTAAACAAACCAACAAGGCTCCTAATTTGCTTTTCTTTATGTTTTTTTTTGTTTGTTTGTTTTGTTTGTTTTTTAAATGCTATTGGGTATTTTTATATAGCACCAAGGCAGCGTGGGGTGAGGGGGAAGAAGTAAAAAGTTGCTGATCACTTTGAATCCCAATACACTGAAACACACATAGCAAAACAGATCCGAGTTGTGACGCTTTGCGTGTTAAAGAGGAGTAAGAAAAGAAAAGAAAGCCTCCTGCGAGTTTGAGGAGCAGGCGGTTGGCAGCAGCAGGAGGTGCCGATGGAGGAATGCTGCTGAAAGGGCGAGTTCCCGGTGCGATCCTGCATCAGCCTCCTCGCCGCCTGTTCAAAGAGGACTCTGAGGGCGGCGCGCCGAAATGGCAACCTTGTGTGCTGAAGCTTGTGTGTGGTTGCAATAATTTTGTTTTCATAGGAGCCAGAAGGCTTTACAGTTTAGCTTGGGTTTTGCCAGTTTTGTTTTTTGGTTTTTGTTTTTTGGTTTTGTTTTTTTTCCTTTGGAAAGGGCTAAAGAGAGAAAAGGAGCGTGCATTTATTACTGTATTTTAACCGTAAGTCTGACAACATGCTCATTTAATAAAAATCTTGAGGTAAAACTCCACCTGTTAGCATAAGCAAAGTTATAAGCTAGATTCTGCAACTTCACCTCTACCGTTCATAGTTTGTTTTCCATAATTGCAGCCAGCGGCACCAAACTCTTTCTCAGCATGTTTAGTTTCTTCTTGGATCTCCTTCATTGTCGTCTTTAACTCTGTTATGGTTTCTTAGCACTGCTGCTTTTTCATCCTTCTAGTACTTAGACACCTTCAATATTAATTTTCTTAATAATCATTGCCAAGTGGATGAAGGGCAGGGATTATGTCTGACCTTAGTTCAGCTTGCTTTACTATTAAAATGCCTTTTCCCCAAAATGTATTCACTGTTTGGGGGTGAATTGTTGTTACGTCATGGTTTGTCAGACTGTGCAAGGCAAGAGTCTTCCAGGACACCTGAAAGAAGAGGAGTTGATCTGAAGGATGGTGGCATGTGTGTGCAGCCAAGGAGAGCGTTTTGTGCCCTTTTTGCTGTATTTCTCAGGGGTTTCTTCCTGTTCTGCTGAACACTCGTTTCCCTTTAAACTGCTGTGTTTCCACGGGAGAACATTCCAGCTTTGGCACCTCTTACGTCTGTTCTGTCTCCAAACATTGAAGTGAATTAGTCAGTCTTTGCTGATGTACAGAAATCTTTTATTTTTTTTCCAAATAATTATAAAGTGAAGAGGTCCTTTTTGTGACCATTGGGGGAACGAGGCTCTTGGAGCTGACCACACTCAGTAATTACTAGTTCAGGGCAAATGCTTTATTTCGGTGCTACATCTCTTATGTGCATGTGAGGTCTGGTACGTGGGAGTCCCGTGTTCCAGAAACCTAAGTTTTGTTTTCCAATTGCAAGAACTTGGCTTCATGGTAGTGAAGATATGCTAGCCAAAGTAAATAGAAGGTCAAAGTATGGGCTATTTTAAGTCCTAAGTAGGATACCAGGATTCTTAAATCATATAGAATTTGCCACCATGAATTACATCATGACGCTGAAGATGCAGGATTTGCCACATCAGATAAATTGGTTATCCATTTAATCCGTTGTATTAGCCAGTTACGGGATGGGCAGTATTCGGCTACCAGCAAAACTCAAAGGACTGGTTGCAGTACCATTTCAGCCTTCTTCACCTATCTTCTGGAAGGAATAAAGTGGCAATAAAACAATCATTATTTTACTCAGTAACATTTTTCCTATGTGGTAAGTTGGTTCCTCTGTTTGTTGGTCTGTTTGCTGTCTCAAGTGCCTGTAGGACTTCCACTTTAATACAAAATTGTTTTGTGCGGAAAAATTAAAGCTGTCTTGCTGTAGTGACAAGTCTGGTTAATGAGCAGAGGATGTAATGAGTTACTTAGAAATTGTCTATGTATAACCTGAAATGCTCAGATTTAAACTCTCAGTTTGTGCTTAATCTCTGGGGTGACAGTATCCAGGTGAAATTACTCCATGCCGTAGAATAACCATTAGTATCAACAGTGCTCAGAAACTCTGAGCTGAGAAAACTACTTATCATAATGTATCCGTAGGGATTTGGCTGTGCTTTCTTCAAGCATTTCCAATTGTGAGAGTTTAAAAGAGGAGAAAGATGTACTGGAATGAGCTTCAGGGAGGGGCAGGTTCTGTGCTGTGTGGCTCATCACAGGGCAAACAGAAAAACAGAAGACAAGTTGAGTGGAGTTACTTGATTTCTTCAAAAGCTAGCATCTAAGCTTCAGGTTCTGTCATAAGAAGATTTTGGGCTGGTAAAGGTAATGCAAATTTTCCATCATTTGGGGTGAATTTTTAAATAGAGGATTTAATCCACAACTCCTGCAGTATCTCTTAAAGCATGTTTTTCCTTTGACATATTATGTCCTCAGTATTCTTCATGAAAGATCTAGAAAAATAGGCTGCTTTATAAATTGCATCCCATCCTTGCTGCTTATATTTTTGCAGGGTGAAAATTCACTGTTAAACAAATATAAATACACTAGTTGTAATCAAATACCAAGCAATATTTAACATGGTATGCAAGGGTGGAAATGATGAAACATGAAGGATGTCAAATCTGAAATAAATCAGTTTCTATTTAGTATCATTCTGTAAAAAGTTTATAAGGAAAAATAGGTCCTTAAGGGAAAAATGAGGGACAGGGAAAGAGATAAAAAGTTGCAGAGAGTGGTTTGTATCTGTAAATGTTTGACAGTGATTTTGTTTCCATATACTGAAAGCCATAAAAAAGATTAAAA